CCCACTATTACGAAAAATGAAGAGGTGCGTGACGGCATGGTCCAGTGGTTAGCGTACAAGACTGTGAATCTTCTGTTCCATGGTTCGAGTCCCGTTACAACTAAAAATAACACCCGCGCTCCGCATTTTCGGATCATGAGTGCGTAATGGTGGGGAAATCTTTCTTTTCTGTGTGAAAAAGAATAACCCAAGAGTTGGCGGTGGGTGGTTTTCACTACCTGTCTTCCCTTTATAAGCTAACGAGGATAACCCCCTAGTAGCTTTGCGCGAAATTAAACAATAAACAGATGTCATGACGATCTGTAAAAACTATTTGGCTCAGAGTTTCCATTCTCAAGAGTCTGTGACAAAATAATCTTACTTAACTCAAGCGACGAACATTTTTACTAAAACTTTACATTTTATCAAACTATTGATTTCAACCTATTTGTCTCTATAAAAATATATTTTTCAACGAATCTTGGATCCGGCCATTAGTATTGTTGTTAGTAAACCTATATACGAACGTTCTAATCAGAACAAATTAAAAAGTGATAAAACACGTGAAATAATTTTTAAGATGATCTGAATTAATCTATCAGACTCAAACTTAACAAATAACAATCAGTTGAGTTGTAAAACTAGGTTGTGAAAAACGTTTCCAATACAGAAAAACTATGAACACATTTTGAAGTATTTTTTTTATTATTTTACTTGTTTTTAGAATAAAAGCTTGAGAAGGAAAACCAGTTATATTGTATATTTAGAAAGTGACTACTTTCAGTTTTCTTTCTAAAATAAAAACAGATAATAATCTGGCAGTAATGAGTATATTTTTTATTAAATTTTCAGTCGAGTGGCTAACTGGACTTTTAAACCATCAGCTAAGTAATTGAGTTTTGAAAAAAAAAAAAAAAGCTAGCAAATTTGAAACTGGTAACCATAAGAACGAAGAAATGTTTTATATAAGATATTCTAACCAAATGTAAAGTTTAACTTAATAAGACAGCAATATATGTATAGTTTATAATTCATTAGCATATTAATTTTATGAAATGTAATTAAACTTAGAACACATATTATCGATTAAGCTGATCTAAAACACACTACAACGTTTTCCTTTATTTCAGAATACGAGATGAGCGAGAAACTTCGTATCAGCCGAATCAGCCGTGCCACTCAAACTCCAAACGCATTACCCGCCGAATCCCAGATTAATCAAGCAGACAGAAATGTGCATCTATGAATTGTCTTCCGCTATAGCTTTGTAGACAAATACAATGACTGGTTCTCGGACCTACAATACGTGCAAACTGCCTAATTAACACCCCTATTTGATTGAAATTAGCCACGTGACTTATTCTATAGAATTACATGATCTTTATTCTAACAACTACGTGAACTTTCACTGAACAAAAACTAAAAATATATATATATAAGGATTTAGCGTTTCTTTTGTATCTGAAGGCGTAGCACACATATTGTTGGAGACAGATGTATATAAAAAGGTAAGTACAGATTTTGTTTGCGAGACATATAAATATATATGAAGAAATAGTACAGTGAATGAAAACGTTATATAAAAACGATTTTGGAGCATCACCACGTCATTACAGTCCACGTCGTCACGTCTAGTCATGCTGTATCTGACAATAACCTGCAGCGCAGTTTCTATTGAATAATAAAAAAAATCCATCGTAACGCTGTCATGTCCAAAGCACACCATTTTTACCTGCTGAACTTTCATAATCCATCTAACGTACGAGGACGACGGTTTCCTAACACCCATTTCAACGATTGCATATAAATCTATACTGAGGCGCTGTATGTAGCGACTTGACCCGTTGAAGATATGTCATGAAAGCAACTTGTGTAACGTAACTTGTGTCGCTTTTCCAGGAGGAGACTCTTGTCGATTATGTTGCGTTGGTTTGCCTGGAACAAGTAGGCGGCTTTCACCACTGACTTTTGTGTTCGTAAATTCTCACCTTTTACATGACGCAGCATTTCCTTAACCGCTAGGGTACTGTTTGTTGCAGGTCTTGTTCTGGTGCCTCAAGTTAATCCATGTTGTTGTGTTTTTAAATGCCATTAAGTACAAGAGATTTGGAAATTGTAAGTTTCTTGTATTAACACATCTTTATAACTTTAGTGTACGAATATTTTGCATCAGAAAAGGCTGTTACATACCATTCCCAGAGGCGATAAACTCTTTGTATCATCACACTAACTCCAAAGCTCCAAACAATGTCAAGACGTAGTTCTGATACGTGCCGTTCCATCGCGACTTTATATCGGCTGTGGTTGTCACGTTGCATATTCAAAATCGTTTTATATATGACGTATTCAAATCTATGTACAGATATGCGAGATACGTATATACGAAGAGAATTTACAGATGTTTTTTGCGAGATGTACATTTTCTTGAGCTTCATTGTAAACATCATTCGTCGCCATTGATGCCACGTTGTACACCAACATCCATCATCGTCATAACAACACTGAGGTCAGGTTGTTATGAGGAAAGGCTCTCCTCGTATCAGTGGAGAATTGAAAAAGGACAGATATTGGAATGGTGCACTGTCTTGGTAAAGGTATTTTATGGTACACGCTGGCATGGTCAGAGATCACGACAACGAAAGACTACGTAAAGTTTTATCAGTTTTATAGTCATTTGTTTATACGCGAAGAGAGACTCAGATACAAAGTAATACAAAGTAACACGAGCTTTATGAATTGCATCAAACGATACGATGCGTTCCGCGCGTTTGTGATTACCTGATACCTCCTCTCAGTGTGTAGATGTATTCTGATTATTACTCAGAACTCTAACCCATATGTGTAAATAACGTTCCGTTTCCGTTAGCGTGAATAAGACGTTGAAAATCAAACGTTCATTGGTCAGCTGTAGCTGAACTCATCTTAATATCCTAGGAATTACAGAATGCACAGTAAGGAAAAAGTGACAGACAATGATACTGTTATCACAATCGAATCTTTTATGCGGTCTGTGAATGGTTTTAATATTAAAGCCTGAAAACTATTATAGTGTGCCCAAATGTCTTGTACAAAGTATTAGTTATGAAATTCACTATTAAGAACCAACTTTCCATTGGTCGTCACGTGCATGCTGGATATTCAGATAAGCTGTTGTTTTCAATAGCTTGTTACAGAGCAATCATGGCCGCTTAAAATGGGGCTCCGGTCATGAAATAACTACCACCTCTCGTATAATCCTGTTATTTTTAGGGACAGAGAAAAATATTGTATAATGCATTGAGGTAAAACTGCTGAGAAACCTTGCTTATAACAGGTATTACAAACTACTTGTTGCTTTCTGAATATTCGGTGCATATTAAGTTGGTAATTACAAAAGTACCGAATATTCCCGTCCTATTGTTGTCTTGCTGATGATGTTAGGTGTTTTGCATGTACGTTTGGAGAGGAGGGGGTTTAAGGGCAGTTGATATTGGATATACCTCTTTTATAATGATATGTGATAACGAGTATAACTATTATCATAAGATGGAATAATACTGGATGTGCCACTTTAATATCATTTTATAATATCGACGTTATTACTGTTCTTGCGCTTTTCTGAATTGGATGTGGCAGTTCTGTAGAAGTAGATAAGACTGGATGTGACTCTCCTACATGAGGGAATGATACTGGATGTGCCATTTAAATAACATTTTACTATATTGTAGTTATTACAGTCTCTGCGTTTTTCTGAATTGGATGTGGCGGTTTTGTAGAAGTAGATAAAATTGGATGTGACTCTCCTACATGATGGAATGATACTGGATGTGCCACTTAAATAACATTTAACTCTGATGATTCTGTTACTGTCACCGGGCTTATCTGGACTAGATGCCACAGCTCTGTAGAAGTGGATGAAATTGGGTGTACCAGCTACGTTTATTTTATCAGTGTTAATGTGTAGTTAAATACTTGAATTTAATAATATTTGACGTGCCATAATATTATGTCTAAATACGCTGATTCTATTAGTCTCAAAGTGGGCGAACTACTTTTATTGAACTATATACTATTGACTGAGACACTTTTATGAAGACTATTCTTCGTTGATGCTACCAGTAAACAAAAAACAAAAAAAACAAGTATTTGTGAGCTTAAAAAATACCCTATCTTGATATAGGTATTATTGGATGTGTTAGTGTTGTTGTATTACAAATAATATTGCTTGTTATTTCTTTCGGGATAAAAATGTCATAATATTCTCTTTAAGGTACACAAAACGAGAATGTTTGATTTATTTGAAGTTTATATTCAATATTTTCTAAGTTTCTGATATACGTGTACATTATGATCTACGTGGTAACTGTTCTTCGAAATCCAAAATGGACTCTAAGTCTTTAATTATTTATGGTAGTGTTAAATATCTTAACGGTTTTTAATCTGGTTCGCAGTTAGAGAAGAACCAATATGGTATTTGTTTCAGAGTATCTTTCTTAGTGCAAGCGAAACATACATCGCTTACATGTATTTAAAAAAAAACAATAGCTTGTTAAAAATACTATACGAATGTTGAACTTTAACAAAAAAATTCTTTCTGACGATCAGAACTTATAATTAGTCTTCGAACAGTCTGTACTTGGTGAATATTGTAAAACATGATAAATAAATAGATAGCATCTGACTATTTTCGTAGAGTTGAAACGCTTCAGTGACAGCTTTCACCTCTAATGGATTTCTTAACGATTTAAGACCCATGAAACTGTTTAAAATCAGAAGAAAAATTAAATATGCTTCAAGATTTACGTTTCGGATAACACTGAGTAATTCATGATTATTAAAACTTATAATTCATTTACGTTTCGGGTAATACTGAGTGATTCATAATTATTAAACTTGTAATTTAATTACGTTTCGGGTAACGTTTCGAGAAGTATAGTGACGCAAATAACTACACTATCATATATTCTGAAGTATAAGATCAGAGAATACGTACTTTCGATATAATTGTCCAAAGAAACAGGAATTACAGTGTTAGGACGCAATACAGTAATCAGCAGACTTATGACAATAAGCCTGGAAGCACAACCAATTGAGCACCAACTTTTACAATAAGAACAAATAATAGGAAAATTTCGATTGCGAACACCTGGAGGCTAGTTGCCAGATATAATACACGATCCACTCGGTACCGTAGAAAACCTTACACCTGGAAGTCACTACATGTAATATACGTTTCACTCAGCACCCAAAAACTCTTTACACGCGGGATTTACCAGATATAATACATGTTTCACTCAACATCCTAAAACTCTTTACACGCGGCATTTACCAGATGTAATACATGTTTCACTCAGCATCCTAAAACTCTTTACACGTGGGATTTACCAGATGTAATACATGTTTCACTCAGCATCCTAAAACTCTTTACACGTGGGATTTACCAGATGTAATACATGTTTCACTCAGCATCCTAAAACTTTTTACACGTGGGATTTACCAGATGTAATACATGTTTCACTCAGCATCCTA